TATATATATATATATATATATATATATATATATATATATATATATAGGTATATAGATATATATATATATATATAGGTATATAGATATATATATATATATATAGGTATATAGATATATATATATATATATAGGTATATATATATATATAATTACTATCCTTATTACATATGTCACTTTACTTACACCAATATCAAGGACTTCATACATGCACTGTGTACATTCACTTCATATGCTGCTTTGCCACTTACTACAAATGTCAATGTCAGGACCTCACTTCATTTCATTTTATTTTATATATACATATATATATATATATATATATATATATATATATATATTTATATATTATAAAAAAAAAAATTATACCGCTATAGTACAATTTAAGACAGTATCATACTTTTATTGTTTCATTTTATGCCTATGTTTATTAAATGTTTTAATGTTAAGTGGTTATTGTTGCACTGGGGTCTGAGAGTAATGTAATTTCAATCCTGTGTATGTCCTGTACATATTGCAGTTTTTGACAATAAAGTGACTTTGACTTGACTTGAACTTTTTAGTTTTATAATGTGGGACAGTGTTCCTGCTGGAGCATTTGTGTCCTGTTCTGTTTGCAACATTTTGCCTCGTCTTCTCTAGGAATACAAACTGTGGGAGCACGAGCTGGAGTTTGTGGAGAATCTTTTGGAAGAGGATGTGAGGAATAACTCTGCCTGGAACCAAAGACACTTTGTTATTTCTCACACCACTGGCTTCTCTGATCTGGCTGTACTGGAGAGAGAAATTCAGTAAGTCAACTTTTTTTTACAAAAACCTGAGCCGTTGAGACCCAAGTAGAACTTTTAAAGCTAATTGAAACGTGATTTGATTTTGAAACTTATTCAATTCAGTTTGTTTATAAAGCTCAAGTCACAACAGAAGCAGTCTTAGGGCACTGAACAGAAACATTCATATATAAAAATAATAATTTAACTCTATTTATCTGACTGCTTTGACTTTAACTCCATTGCACAACTCTTTTCACATATTCAGCTTTGCACCAGAGTCCACATTTGTTTGCACTTTATGGATTTCTTGTTTTTCTTTTTAGTTCATGTCGAAGTGTTAATGTTTCTGCTGCCTCCATTCAAGTTATTCTTCTGTCTTTGTGTAAGGTATTGTCTGAACCAAATCAAGAAAGCTCCTCACAATGAAAGTGCGTGGAATTACCTGAAAGGGTAAGATGCAGAACATGCCGCAGATTAGCTTTTATAAACTTTAGGAATATTGTAGCTTTTTCTGGTTTTAAGATTAAATATTTACTCATGGTGCGAGTGAAGATTTCAGTGTGTGGCAACAAGGCACAGGAGCTCCACAGAGTTGAGTTAGTTATTAAAAATGGAAACACTCGGTGTCAATTCAATTCAGTTTATTTCTATAACTCCAAGCCACAACAGAAGTCGTACAAAAACATTCTCATACATGAAAAAAAGCCAGTTAGTAAAAATTATCTGGCTAAGAGAGCCAACAGATTGTACTGAATCTTCCCTTTGTCACAGTCTCCCATCCTGAGCAAGCACAAAGGAGACAGTGGAAAGGAAAAGCTTGCTTTTAACAGGAAGAAACCTCCAACAGAACCAGGCTCAGGATGAACGGCCATCTTCTTCTACCAGCTGGGTTTGAGAGGACAAGAAGGAGAGACAAACACAGAATGACAGGTCCAGATGTACTTTCTATTGAAGGAAAGACAAAAAAACATGTTAAGACAGAAATAATTACAAATACAATCAGAGCAAGTAAAGACTCCTGCAGTCTATGACAAAGTCTTGAGCCCAGTCTTAAAACTGGACAATGTGTCAGCCTCATGGACAGAGACTGGAAGTTGGTTCCACAAGAGAGGAGCCTGAGAACTGAAAGATCTTTCTCCCATTCTGCTGCTGGAAACTCTAAGAACCACAAGTAAACCTGCAGTCTGAGAGTGAAGTGCTCTGTTAGTAAAATATGGAACAATAAGATCTGTAATATAAGATGGAGCTAGGTTGTTGAGAGCTTTGTAGGTTAGAAGTAAGATTTTGAATTCTATTCTGGATTTGACAGAGAGCCGATGGAGAGAAGCTAAAACTGGAGAGACATGATCTCTCCCAGTAACGCTCATTAAAAGTGGCAGCAACATTTTGGATCAACTGAAGACGTTTTAAAGAAGTTAGTGGACACTAGGGCTGGGTGATATGGACCAAAATGAACACCTCAATATTTTAAGAATTTGAGATATATGATATTATTATTATTATTAACCTTTATTTATCTCAATATTTTTTTTTTATTTCCATAAAGTAACAAAAATATATTTCTGAGTCAAAGCTTTGTCCCAGTTGTCACCCAGGCACTGCTGTAACTGTACAAAATAAATGTCTAAAAAATAAACTACATATATTAAAGTTTGTTTTTCAGACATTTATTTACATATATTAAATAATAATCTTCCCCTGCTGCACCGCCTTCACAACGTTAAGCAGCGTGTGTGAAGCAGCAGGGGGGCTGCTTGTATTCAGCGAGGGGGGAGGGGCCGCATGGGAGAAAGAGAAGACAGCAGGCGGGTTTTCAAGTACAACACTATATCGGTTATTTCAATATAGTATCATCTTGTCTTGCAAATGAAATTTTCTCAATATTTTTAAAATATCGAGATATCGCCCAGCCCTAGTGGACACCCAGATAATAAACCATTGCAATAGTCCAGTCTAGACGTGACAAATGCATGGACCAGTTTTTCTGCATCATCTTTAGATCAGATGTTTCTAATGTTAGTGATATTACGCAGGTGGAAGAAGGTGATTCTAGTAACGTTTTTAATGTGGGGGATAAAAGACGTGTCCTGATCAAAAATAACACCAAGATTTTTAACATTACAACTGGATTAATGAGAGACTGAACAATGTATTCCTAAGATGCTCACGTCCAAAAACTAAAACCCAAAACTTTGGTCTTGTCTGAGTTTAAAAGCAGAAAACTAAAGAGTCCTCCAGGTTTCAGAATGAAGATTCATTATTTACATTTACAAACTGGAATCTATCAGATAAATGTGATTTAAACCAGTTTAGAGCTGTTCCTGTAATCCCAACATCATATTCAAGCCTCTGTAGTAAAATATTGTGATGAACTGTATCAAATGCAGCACTGAGGTCTAACAGGACCAGTAGAGACACCAGTCCATTGTCTGAGGCCATGAGAATATCATTAGTTTTACTAGTGCTGTTTCTGTGCTATGATGAGCTCTAAACCCTGACTGAAACTCTTCAAACAGATTATTTCTTTGTTGATGTTCACACAACTGCAGATGTTTGCAACTTTTTCCGAAGAATCTTTTAGATGATTGTTTATTAGTTATAGGTCTATATTTGGCCAGAATTCCTGAATCAAGTTCAGGTTTGAGTAAAGGTTTAATTACTGCCAGCTTAAACCATTCATTAGATAAATTAAGCAGATCCAGTGTTATTTATCTACATTTCTTTCATTTTCTTCCGTCTTCCCTCAAGGATGCTGCAGGACAGAGGGCTCTCATCTCAGTCGGGTCTGCTGGACAAAGTCCTGCAGCTGAAGGAAACTCATTGCTCGCCTTACCTTCTCGCATTTCTCTTCGATTGTTACGAGGACGCCTTAGAAAACGGCACTGCAAAGGAAAATCTGGACAAAGAGCGTCAAGAAACTTTAAAAAAGGCTTTAGAAGTGAGTCCACAGATTGAAATATTAAAGCTTTGTTCTTACAAATGTTATCAGCTTTGGGTCTGAAGTGACCCCCGAGTTCATATTGTCTGTCCCTCTCCTGTTTTTCTGATCCTTCTTTTAAGATTTGTAAGCTTCTTGCGCAGCAGAAGGACACCATTCGTAAGGAGTATTGGCAGTTTTTGGGACGGTCTTTAAAAAACAAATATGGAGGTGACATTTCTGAAGAGCCTGTGGAAACCGAACCATCAGTTCCAACATCTGGAGCCCCAGAGATCATCTAGACCTCCAGAAGTTTCTCACTCCATTCCATCTTACTTCCACATTGATGCTTTTGGATGAATCGACTCGTAAAGTTTAATATCACTGTAAACTCTTGTGTGTGTTGCTTAGAGGAATGTCCGTGAGCCTTGCATTAGTGAGAACGTTGCTCTCGTGGTACTGTGCGTGTCTGCATGCACAACAAGCTCCAAACAAAGCCTTGAGAGCCGCTCTTAATCTCAGATTAGATGAAACAAACCAGTGGAAAATGAGACTTTGAGTGGATAGTTTGTTCACGTGCAGACCCACATTTGACCCGGTCCATAAAGATCTCTGGACTCTGTTGAAGTTAGGATCATTCATGTGTTTGTGTTTAAAACAAAGCTAAGCAAAAGAACTGTTAGTGGTAAACTGTCATTTGTCAAACTTGTCCTTGATAATAAAGAGATCAAAAGATGTTGTGCATCGCTGCTGTCAGATCAGATCCTTGACGTGTCACTGCCAGACTCTTCGCTGGCTTTGGCACAGGGCAAGTTTTGTTCTGTTCGGTTCTCTGAGCTGAGCTGCCAGAGGGAGACGAGAACTAATCGCCCCCCTCTGTGTGCACACACTCATGAATGAACATCCAGAAAGCTCATGTCCTGGACTCCCTCAGAGCTTGGGAATGGATTTGCTCCACTAGATGCAGCTGTTTCCACTTCTGCAGACCCTGCAACCCAGTCCGTCCCTCCTCCATGCTCTGCGTCCCACAACCCAGTCCGTCCCTCCTCCATGCTCTGTGTCCTACAACCCAGTCCGTCCCTCCTCC